ATTTCTCTGTATTTACCGAAAAAACGTTGTGAAGTTGTATAAAGCTTTCATCGGTTTGAACTATCTCCTCTCAGATATTAATCATGTGAGCCTGTGACCACGGCTGTGTTGAGCCGTGATGTAATATAACGTCCCGAAACAAATAAATTACCTCATTTAATTAGAAAAGTGAGTTAAACCACTGTAATTTACTGCATCTGACAATGGATACTCTCGAACTATAAGGGAAATAAGGCACATAGTCTGAACAGTTTTGTTTCCGACTCCTGAATATTCTGTTCAGGTTTACCTAGGAAAGAAATGATGTTACCCCTGCTTGGCGGGGTGCGGATGGTGCCCACAGACAATGATTCTCATCACTATATACATGTATATATATATATATATATATTAACTTCTGGAAATCTACACTTACGTATTCAGGCACGAAGAGGTACTGCTGTTTAAACATTTACCACCTTGGGCTGATCCCGAAAAACCAGTCACCATTGCGGTAAGTTTTTTTTCCATTTACTTATGATTTATTGCACTATGTGTATCCAGCTGAATGCATGTATACCGTTTGCTTTTATTGTGGAATGTTAGTTTGATGTCAGTCTGATCCAAAATCCTCGCCTCTCTGAGGCAAACCTGTTTTACTTACTTGTATTTCGATAAGGTCAATTCTTCCGTCACTTCCTAGTCCTTTATCTTTGCCAGTTTCTCGACTTTTTATATGCGCGCTGTCACACTAGAACCTATTGTAGGTTCCGCAATATTGTGTTTTGTGCAGCTGTAGCTCGTGTTGTGTTTCTCCTGCCTTGGAATTCTCAATAATTAAACTTGACTGTTTATGTTCAATCTACGCACAGAATAAAATATGAAATGTTAGACGCGTGGACAACATGGGGATGGCTTTTCCCTGTCGTTCTCCTTCCCTAAGAAGCTTCAGACCAACCTTTCCTAGGACACTTCGGGGGACGTCTGGGTGATGATGTTCCAATAAGCGGCAAGACGGCTTGGTGATTAAAACGCGAATTTACTGACCAGTAGGTCCATGATTCAAAGTCAATCTCTGCCCCTCTACTTCCCCCTGTTTGGGTTTGGGCAACCTGGCAGTATCCCAGCCTTCGTGCTTTCTTCTGGTGGAAGGGTAGTTAAGCACCAAAAGGGTGCTACAGCTGGACAATTTTCTTTATATGCGACGAGCTTTGGCTCCCTTGAGAGGAAGTCTATTAGGAGAAGGTCAAACTTTTCGCTACGTCATGGTCACCGGGGGTTGCCGTCGTCGGTTGCCTAGAAAAATGACTGCTCTTCGAAAATTTCCGTCTTTTGAAGTCAAGAGCAAACGGAATCGGTTAATTGGAACGCTTTATATTTACTACTTAATCCAAATCGCAGAAACCTCATCATTTAAATTGGGCTGTCATCATTATGCTTCAGAAAACTGCAAGAATAACCTTAAAATTGGACCAATTGTAACGAAAACGCCATTTTCCGCTTTATTCAAAGCCAACTGCAGCCGTGAAAAGGTTGATCCTATGCGAAAAAGTATAGCGTAACAATTCAACCCAGGACATTGGTGAACAGTTTTCGAGGGGTTGTGGCTTGCGACTACTGTTGATCCAAACTCCGAGTGCAAGACCTTTCGTGTGGAAATGCAGTGGAATGGATATCAAGCCTCTTCTTGGACGCCGTGTAATGCAACGTGTTCACCTCGGTGGCTATTTTTAAAATCGGAATCTATTAAGCAAAGCTTCGTTTGAAGACATACCGCAGAGTGTCAACTTTCATTATATGCCGCTTAGACACCAGTTATGCATGTTCAAGGGGCGTTAGCGACAAGGCCGTTCAAGTAGAAGGTAAACGGATGAAGCCCACAGTTCTTTCAGCTGAAGATGAGCCAGTGTGTATGCTTTTGTCGATTAAAGGTGCCCGTTTAGCCAACGATCCCAGGTAAAGTCCAAGATCGAAAAGGCAGTTCAAGCCAACGACGGAAGTGTCACACAGCAGCGCCGACATCGGAAATACCTGAAATCCACGGTTTTGCGTTTGCGCGGCGCTTTCTCAACAGACACCTGATACAATTGCAACTCCTGGTTGAACACATACCACTGTCCATCCTTGGAGCAGATGGCACCAAAATTTCCGAATTCAGCTTCTGACCCTCAACCCCAAATTGTCGAGCTTTTTCAACTAAAAGTAGTAACAAAAATATCGCTTCTTTAGTTGTTGAGTAATTTTCAGGCTTCATCTATCGGAATTAACTAAATTAAGTTTTGAAGCAGAGAACATCAGTTTCAAGCGGCCCGAGTTATATGACCTCTCCTAACTGTTTTTGACCTTCTCTTACACATCGCTATTATGAATAAGCAGCACGCTTTATGCCTCGTGGCTGGTGAGAATAAAACAGAAGTCAGATTCACGCGATTCCCTTGCCATCAGCATTAACGAAGTGGCTAACATGAAAGTGGTGATTCAATCAAATAGGACAAAAGATCTTGTTCAAAGCATGTGTGATAACGTTTCGTGAGATCCCAAATGACTGCTAGTTGTTTACATGAGCTGAACGAACAATCAAAGCATGTCCGCTTTCTAACCTAGGATAAGGCTGCAGTACACCTGAGGGTCATTGCATAACTCAACTTTTTGCCGGTCGGCTAGTAGCTTGCATTACCAATGCACGATCTTACCTGAATAACTGCTCCGAACTGACGTGGCAACATTTTAGTCGGGCAAATGAGAACAACAACAGCAGTGTATGGCCATACACTTGTCACGGAATAGGGCTTCTGAAACGGAAATTTTGAATCAGATTAGCAGAACGTCGTTCTTGTTTACCTCAGATGAACTGCTTGAAACGATTTCAGACCTGTTTAGTTACAGGATCAACAAAAGCAAGCCAATTGGGGAACAACTAGAATTGCTTCTCGACCGATAATCGATATGATTCCAAGCGAAGAACATTCCAGAAACAGGGACTTTCCAAATACTCAAGCGTATGTCTGTCGGTTTTTCATTTTAGGTCAATATACCTATCAGTACACCTTCCTCTGAGCTCAAACTTTTTTGTCCCCTTATGTGAACAAAAAAAAACAATAGCAGTCTGACATGCACGAGAATTTGTGATTCGTTCCCCCATATCACTTTTATACATCTGAAATGATTTTTTTCTTTTATAGGATCCTTGCTTGCAAAAGGGCCTGACCATCAGTACTACGCTTTCTCCAAAAAAACCGAATGATACAGAATCGCTGAGAGAAAACGAGGAGGAGAAGAAGTACCAAGTAGAATTAGTTGTACGTGTTGGTTTGCGATTCATTAGTTATTTGCGTCTATGTAGTTTCAACATTTTCCACTCCTGTGCGTGCTGTATATCAGTTGGGGGGGGGGGGGTAAAGAAAACCCAAACAGCTCTTCTGACTTAAAGCCAATTAAGAGGCCCACGGAAACCGTTTGATAACCATTTAGTGAAGGGCCAACAGGTAGGCATGTTCACCGTGCTTTCGTTAATCTTATTTCTTACCTGAGCGAATGGATTTTTGAAATCAGTTGTGCACGACTCGGTGTTCAAGTGGAAAATAGAAAGAGTCACAGCTGATAGGCCTCAAAAAGGGCACAATCAACAGTAGTCTGTAGAAGTGTTTTCAGTGACCTCATATACAGGGAGAAAATGCTTCGGTGTCTTACATATCTTTACAGCTGGAAAGTTTAGTGGTTTTGTGCAGCGGATTTTGTTGAATAATATAAAGCAGGATAAATTTAGTTGAAATCTATTTGAATGTCATTTTAGCAACGGACTGCGGAACGGAAACGCGAGCAATTCCTAAATTGGAGGCACTTCCACTCACAAAGCATTGATGATGTCACCTCGATTGGTGATGAAACACTTGCGACGAGGTTTTGCAGCTTAGCGAACAAACCAATGGCCATCATTACAACCTGATCTATCAACATTCCCTTCAAATGCAAATAATAAATAATAATCAGCGAATATACACTCATCTGCAAACTAATTTGATTGTTTCGAGAGACTCACCTGGAACCCAGCTGAATCTCTCGTTCATGATGTTCTCAGGCAACTGAGTGTGCTGCACCAGGCCGCCTCATGTTTCAGTCGCTACGATATTTGAAATATCGCGATACATGTATATTTGTAATGTACTACGCATAAGGTTGCTGAAAATTCATCCACAGCCCACGACCGGTTTCGCCCTTTTTGGGGCTCACCAGGTAGGCGCAGTCCCCGGGTTTCCGTCAACCTTAGGTTCTACTCGAAACCAACATTCAGTTGCCTGAGAACATCATAAACGAGAGATTTAGCTGGGTTCCAGGTGAGTCTCTCGAAACAATCAAATTAGTTTGCAGATGAGTGTATATTCGCTAATTTCATACAATTTGGTTTCAAGTAGAACATAAGGTTGACGGAAACCCGGGAACTGCGTCTACCTGATGAGCCCCAAAAAGAGCGAAGCCGGTCGTGGGCTGTCGACGGATTTTCAACAACCTTATGAGTAGTACATTACAAAGATATACCTGTAACACCCTTCCGGTGCCTAGCTCCCATGCTACCCGAAGGAAGCACGAGGGCTGGGATACTGCCAGCTTGCCCAAATCTAGACAGGGGAATTCGAGAGGCAACTGTATTTATTTCTATTCGATTTACTCGTCCACCATTCATCATGGAAGGATTAGACATGTTCCAGGTGCGACACATTACACTTCCGAGACATGTGAACCGGTGAAGTTCTTGAGTCCGAATGTTAAAGGGAATCGGATCTGACAGCCCCACTTCGGAGCATCAGTGGAGTTGACTAGCGTGCATTTTCTCCCACCTGGCTTCACTGTTGTACTGGGAAATGACTGCATCGGTGACCAGCCAACCACATTGTGCCATTACCCAGATGACGCAGTAATGACTACTCACATATAGCATTAGTACGATCATTTACTTAGGAGTAATGCGGTATTTGATCTCAACCTAATGGAGGTGACGAGAAATGTCAGCGCCCTGGCATCGCCCGAATTAGCGCTGACTTCGCTTAAAGGACCTTTTAAAGGGAACTATGTTTAAGTTGTCGCGCCCAAAAGACCCCTGTGCGCTCGTCAAAGTGAGCTGTCATTCCCTACCCATGCGATACCGAATGAATCAGTACCAGCTAACAAAACGAACTGAACACTTGCCTAGGTGACCGAATCATTGAAGTTAACACGCACAAGTCAGTTAACTACGTCACACTAGTAGCGCGGTTCCTGCTGGTACCTCCACTTGACCGATTACAGATGAAGCTTGTCGACGTTCCGTTTTGACCGCGATTGATAGATGTGATTCTGTTCGATATCAATAAATGATCATTTCTTACCGGGGAAGTTTTTTTTCTTGTTTTGTTTTGTTGAATTTAAGTCTTCCAGAGAGGCATTGCCCTGTATCGTGTTTCAAACACCATCGAAATTGTTTTTTTTCAACCAGAAAGAGGTGTCCCCGTTCCCTTTTTCACTTTGTTTTATAGGGTGAAGGTGACCCTGATAAATGCAAAGTACTTGTTCGGGAACTCGTGCTTGGTGGAGAAATGGGTAAGGGACCATCCCCACCAATTGGGTTCGAAATGCCATTTTACGGGTTGTCGGAATTTGTCTACGCTTTGGAAGGAGTATCATCAAAAGAAATCTATCTTTACTCTGAAGCAGAACCAAAAATAGAGGTGAGTTGCATTGAAAAGGCAAATATTACCGGATGCGTAACTTCTGTTTAGTCAACAAGCTTGCTGGCATGTATTTAGAGTTCATTAGTTCATTTGCTGCTTTAGTTACATCATTCCAATCGCTATGTGAGCACAAAATGGCAACTTAACGAAGTGCGCCAACGAATGACAATAGAGCTTTGAGAAGCACACTCATTTGCAAACCAATCTGGTTTTTACAAGAGACTCAACTGAATCTCTCGTTTATGAAGTTCTACAACTGAATGTGTATTTTTCGAAAGCGGTCAAATGTGGGTTCAAGTAGAACATAAGGTTGACGGAAACTCGGGGACTGCGCCTACCTGATAAGCCCCAAGAAGAGTGAAAACGGTCGAAGAGTTTTCAGCAACCTTGGGAGTAGTCTCCTTCATGAAGACGATAGAGCTTCTCAGGGGATTTAAATGGCACCTTGGTTGATCACACTGATGCACTGTTGACTACTCTATTCTGAATACACTGTAATATTGCATTGGAATCAACTACCTTCTGTTTCGTATCAAACTGAAGCTGTAATTCGAGTGAAATTTTATCAGCGAAACTGTAGTAATGACAGTGATATCGGGGATAGTGACGGCATTGACTGGAGCCCTGAACCAAACAAAAAGGCGCTACAAGCATTTTCACTTCTACTTCCTTCACGAGAATCCATGATGAAGTTAACCCAGCGGATCTATCACATTTAAAACAAGCCAATTTGTACTTACTAGTGGAAAGTCAGTTTACCACGCGAGCTATATTCTTCTTTTTGCTCCACCGAATTGTATAAATATTACGTGGATTTCTTCGCCTCAAGGTCAGTGCTGAGATGACCGATACATTTGATTGGCGGTTTCCCAAAGATGAGGTGAAAGTAGGGAGCTTAATCCTATACGACGTCTTTTTTGGTTGCGCAGACTAGCCACGTTCCCGTGCTTTAAACAGATAGACGTTCTGTCTCCCCATTCTATAACACCTGCGATCAACGTGAAGCCTTTTCTTTTCTGTTGATTATTTTGATTCCGTCGAAATCAGCACTGCAGAGTGAGCCTTTCAGAGTATGATTTCTTGACAGCATATTCAAGATTTGGCAGCAAAGGTGTCTGAGAGGCAGAAGACATTTGTTTTTGGTATAGGATCCAACGAACTTGTGTATAATATCGGATCAGAATACCCTATGCAGTACTTTAGGTTCAACTCTGAAACATATGAGAGCCAATTAGTTCATCTCACCAAGCCAGGGAAAAATATTCAAAGAGGCCGCGGCAGTTGGTGAACAAATAGTACGCTGAGTGTACAACTCTAAAAGATCTAGATGTTAAAATATTGTTTCTCATGGAGATAATAGCGCACAATTTGTCCGAGAGGGAAGAGTTAACCAGCTATATTAGAGAGGAAGCAAATTTTTAAATCGGCTCAGAAAGTTTCTCCATCCACGCACTTTAGAATATTCGGCTGCAACAACTTTACGGCCTAAATAGGGATGTTGTTTGAGATGGATGGTACACAGTAGAAAGATGGTTGTGGGCTTCGTTTCAGAAGAGCTTGATAAACGATCGGCAGATTTTATTTGGGCAACGTTCCGCTTTAGACACAAAAGCTTCATCAGGCCAAGTGAGCAGGTCACCAAATGGTCCAGGTTATAAGGCAGGTTGTGGGCTGCTATCTGAATCACTTGAGTTCATTTTTATGACACCTGAACACCGGTTCAAATTTCAGGGCGGCCGTTCTACACGGCTGTTAACCTCAAGTCTTTCCGAAGTTCATATCACTAGTAAAGAAATCAAAAACACAATGTACCAGAAAAGCAGGTCATTATATTTTCGGAAAGCCACTGCGTTTTGTGGGTGTCTTTCTGAGGTGGTTCGTGAGAATTCGGCACCCATTCGTGGCGTGAGAATTAACTGTTTCCCAAGGGAAAACATCAAAAGTGGTGTCGTTTGACAATTTTTCTTCGTTGAGAGGGAAACAATGTTATCGAAATGGCCAATTTCATAAACACTTTTTTCTGCCTTTGGTCGTAGGGCTTTTACCCCAGGATGTTCGCAGTGTTTATTTCACAGTGCTAACCAGATCGAAAAGTTTCAAAACCTGTCTTCCTAATGAGGATAGCAGACTTTTTCACTCTGAAGCTCCTTAGCACAGGTTATTTCAACGGTCGTTGTGAATCTGCAAGTTTAGTAGTATCGTCGAAAAACAAAAACCATTCTCGCGGACGGGCTAAAAACATCTTGTTGGTAAGGGACCTCTCCAATGAGGACTAAACAAAACAACCATATCAGTAAATGTTACCAAATGCTGCATTTTTGCAAAGCAAGGTTAACGTAAGTGAGCTATTGCGGCAAAACTCTGTTGAGGTTAAAAACACTCCCTTCAGGACAAAAGAAGTCTGTAACAGTTGGAAAGGCATTGATTAACAAAGGGTGTTTTAAAGACGCCACAAGCTTGTCTCTGAATCCCAAGGCGTGCTCAATCTTGAGGACTTGCTTGGTAATTGATCACGCGGCTGTTTATCTGCTCGCAGAGCTTGGCAGTTGATTCGAAAACGTTTCCGCACCATTCGAGGAGACATCTTCAGCCAATAGCACACTGAAGATGTCTCCTCTAATGGTGACGAAGCGTTTGCAAATCAATTGCCGAGCTCGACGAACAGATCAACAGCCACCTGATCAATTACCATGTAATACACCCGAGCTACCAATATTCCAACACTTAGGAACTTGAATTTTGCAGGTTGACTCCGAGATTTTGAATTCAAATTTAGCCTTGGAGAGTAAACAACAGTTATGGATGAATTAGAAAGCCTCTCAATATGACCTAGATTTGTACCCTAGTTTGTATACCTAGCTTGTACCTAGCTTTGTACCCTTTCGTGTAACTTGTAAGCCAGTCATTGGTTTTTTCTTGGGAAAATTCTTCACAAAGATGAAATTTCGTCCCTGAAGAGACGAGATGAAACTGTCACTTTTAAATGACGTTTTAATCTTTAGGTGATATCTCCTTCTCTGTGAACGGATTACCAAGAAATCAGTTTTAACTTATATCCTACAGTTCATTTCATTTCAGCCGAGTCTGAAAGTTCAGACCAGAAGTGATTTCTACTGAGATCTGCATGTGTCTCAGAGAACCAAACAAAAACGGTTCCTTCAAAACGGTGTTCTATCCAGAGAATAGGAATGTGGCGCAGCACTCGCCATGGAGGCCCACCGTTGGTCGAGGCTTGAGATTGCCTTCTCATAGATGAACCACTGAGTCTTCAACGCACTAATCGAAACTAGATACTTCCAAGGACTGATCTCTTCATATGGCTGATTTCCATGTAGTCGGCTTTATCTCAGAGACGCCTTCGGAGAAATCCCCACAAAATTCTGCTTTGAATCCACTAAAGAGTAATGAGTTTTCCTACAAATGGCATCGTTTAGTTTGCACTTCTTGTGGCAGATCGGTTTCCGTGCTTCCAGCTTGTACACCAGGTTATACACCCAAGGAGTCCCACGGATGAACGACGAATTCTTGCTCTGCACTGTTCCGATGGAATATTCTATGTAGTGATAAGATGTTCTAACAGACCGCTTTTGAAATGCGATTATTTGTGACCACTCCTGTGGAGCGTTTGAGCCTGCGCATGATAAATGGACACTGGTCAATCCTTTCGCGCGGCTTTTCCATAGCGGAGTGACTGAAATAGGGTCGTGTAAATAAAAGTAACATAATAACGTCTTGAACCGCCTTGGAGATGTAAGTTTTCTAAAATGCGGCTATTCAAATGTGTACTTGATACTGAAGAATTGATGCAAGGATTGGCATTCTTGTCTCTGTTGTAAGGTGAATTTGTGTCTGGGAAAATGTAGGATGACCATTGGGGACAGCTGAAGGGGCTGACGCGTGGTCTCTCGCAGCCATCAATTTCATACCAAATCGCACTCGACTTTACCGAAGTGGCTCCAGTAGGGAGAGACTACTCAGGGGTACCTCTTTGCACAGCGGGCACCTGATTCGCAATAACATCCAGGCTGTTTAAAGCAAATCCTGGCCTTTTCATTACTCTTAGGGCTGTTTCGGTACCGTCCACCATAAATTACCGAGAACATCGTAGGATGGACCGTCGCATCCCTTATTCAATCTAGGGACTGTGTACGACTCAGTGTTCTCACACAACTGAAACAAATTCCACCACTTATGGAAGGAACCTTGATGACTCTCGTAATCTTAGTGAGAGAGCCCGCCAAACTCAGAAAAGCGTTGTAAAAAGATAGCTATAAACAGCATGCTTGATTGAATAGTCTGAGAATGAGCCCTGTTTGCTTCAGACTGGAGTTATTTGGGTAAATTTCCAAGGTGATGAAAGTGTAAAAAGTGTTAATTATACTGGTTATATTTTCCTGTTTGACCGACGGCGATCAAAACTGCAAGCAGTTGTTCATGTCTACAGCTGCGTCTTTCTGATCGAGAGGCGACCCCAACTTTCTCCGGATCACGCCTCAAAAGATGAACGAAATCAGTGCTTGTTAGGAGAAGCCCAGATGCGGCTCGAAATGCTTGTGGGTTCAAAACTGTAGGCCATTACTCTTCATACTACAGTCGCAAAGTTATGGTCCAGGAACTTGTCTGTCAGTAAGGCACGTGATCGTTGTACGGGTTACTTTATCAACCATTGTGACTTCAATTTGCGCCGGTTCTCCAGATCGACCGAAATGTGTTGAATCCACGCCATGTGTGGTACCCTCCGTTTGTGAATAATTTTTAAGAATGGTTGTCACGATTTTGCCACCAAACTGCAGAATTTGTCCCTATGAAAACTGACCTTTCTGCTGTATGACCTCATTTTGGTAATGTCCTTTATCGCTCAGTGTAAGCAATGAAAGGCAAACCAACCGAGTTGTTTTTTAAAACGCTGTTATGAAGATTACTTTTGAAAGCAGTGGACGCGGTGCCCTTGCGCAATTGATCGACCGGTGTTTGTTCAGTTGAGCGGGTCATTTTTTCAAAGTCACTACGATGACCTTCAGCAAACCTTCCGTTCTTGGATATTTAATTCAATGAGTCCTGCAAACTGTCAATTCACAGATTTCCAATCCCTCGAGAGTTCAGTTCACAAATATTTGAGTTATTAATCCGGGTTTCATCTTTCCGAATTCGAGAGTAGAACGAGCTCTTTAGGTGTAATTCAGTGGAATGAGCTTGCACTTCAGTAAGTTGGCCGGTTTGTTTTGAACAGGAAGCAGGATGGATTACGGAGAGGTTTTAAGTTGTTACTCTCGGTTGAGAGGCTATAACCTCACTCCGAAATGATTGCTTGTTCTAGCAGGGGCTCCTAGTTCAGTTAGACTTTGAGCAGCATATAGCTGCAGCCATATCAGGATAAACTATTTCTGAAAGCCAAGTTGGAATTAATGGAAAAATCAATGAAACCCGATTGATGCTGTAGCCATCAGTATGATGTCAGTTTTCGTGAACTCAGAAAGACAGGGCACCCAGAAGGGACAGTGACAATGTGATTGCGTGAGAAGATAACTGACAGTTTGCTACCCCAGAGTTAGCTGGAAATTCGATTAGAATCTACCCTAGAAGATTTCGGGTTTGATGCCGGTGAAATCCAGCACAAAAGCTTGGCGTGACACGCGAATTCAACGCGCAGCTACCTGTTGTTACTGCCGAATAGTTTAGTGTCCCTATCGCCCCAATCCCTGTGTTCTTGCGAGTCCTTTTAGATGGACTGTTGAAAGCAAATGTGAAGTTAGTTAAATGAGCATACCGCAACCGAAACGGGGACGCTTGTCTTGAAAACCCATTGGCAGAATTTGACTGGGGTTCACAAGTCCAGGTGATTGTTGGTTTGGAAGCGATGGGTCATGAGTTGTAGAAATGCTGTTGTGAGATACTACTTACAGTTATTGTATTGGAATACAGAATGCTGAGTAGGAGTTGTATTCAACCAGTCGGTCAATCGGTCATTCAACTCAAAAACTGCCCACTGAAGTGCGGTGGATCAAACTGCTGTTGCTAAATCAATTGAGCAAAAGGATGATAATGGCATGAGAGCCGTACGCTAGAGGCGGCACCCCCCGACAGTTTCTTTGAAGAGTGATGGGTCCTGTGAAATATCTGTTTCATAAAAACACTACATTCACCCCATTTTGCTGGCACACTAGTTATAATTTCTCACCTATACAGGTGTTCATTTGTGAAATCGATTTGACTGTAGTTTGTCCTTTTACCTCAAGGAATTTTATGGTTTAGTAGAAAATCTTAGTGGAAAGGAGAATGTTCTCCCTAAATTGCCTGAGTGGATTTTTTTCAAAAAAAAGCCGAGTGCCAAAATCACATGAATGACTGTTTTACCATTCTGTGCCTCGGCAAAAAGAGACGTAATGAATTCACACCTCGATGAATTGAAGCAAGCTCGACTGACCGATTTCGAAGTGTTCACAATTTTCTCTGACCGGCTATATTGCGACATTAAACGGGTTTTTTGTCATAGTTCAAATGCGAGTGAATTTTGCAACTGCGATTCCGTTTACTATGATATTTCACAATCCGTACACACTGGAGGCACAAAATAATCGTACAGCATTTCGGACAGTAGAGAGCGCCTCCTCGGTTTTAGAGATTCAGTATCCTCCGAAGCAAAGTTTTGTCCAAGTTCTCCATCTGCAACCGAAAACGACCACCTACAGACAAGTAATTCAGCAAATTAGGTGTTTTGACGGCTTTCAAAAAACCAGGTTAGCGTTGATATATGTCAGCGTCCTGGAGTAACGGTGATACTACTGATGGGGAGGCATGCGAGTAGTATGTGTTGTTTTTGAACTTTCGCTTTGCGTCTCTTGAAAAGGCGAGATCTGTCGCGAAATTTGTGGAGCCGCTTTGAAACAGTTTCTTCGGTTTGAGCAATGAATGATTAGAGTCAAGAAATATCCAGGAAAGTTCAAGAAGAGGCGTTCAGGAGGTGATGTATGTTCAGTTTTTGTAAATAAGATGCAAATGAGAGTTTTGCTTTCCTGTCCAACGGTCTGTAACCGGTCCAGTTGGCATCCTATAATAAATAAATCTGGGGCGAAGGCCTTCTTCCTTTCACTGGTAGAAGTTGTGTGAACCTTATCGGAACCCGAACGCGAGTTGGAGCTCACAGAGCGTTGGTTTCATGAGTATGTCAAAGTCGCTTTCATCATAGACAACCAGGCTTGTGTTAGAACATCAGTCTGTAACTATCTTTTCAATGTTATTCGTTCATCTGTAAAACTGAATTAGGTAATTAAAATGCAATTTTGTTTCTTCTCAAAGGAATTGTGTAGGAGGCCCTGGGAGGAATATACCAAAATTCTAAGAGAACAGTATGGAGACGAAGAGACGTGAGTCATTTCACATATTTCGTACCAATTTTAAGTCCAATTAATGCATGGCAATCTAGACGCTGGTAGGATGTTCAGAGTGTCCTATCGTAGATATAAAGGCTCATTAGTCAAGGTAATCCTCTATGTCACATCAGATTTCATCAGATTTTAAACCGTTCAGAAAATCGAAGATTAGAGGGTCGGATAGTGAACGAATAATTAGAGTCAGTCCCATTTGCAGTTTGTCGCTAAGACTACTCACTGAAATCACCCCAAATTCTGCTTTTTTCTCGTCTGTTATCAAAATACCGTGTCTCTATTTATTTGACGAGCATGCTTGAACATCTAAGCATCCCGTTATCGTAACTATTTATATTTTTAACTTCTGAATGTCCCAAAATACAACCACACCCGTCAATGGATTTGTTGTACCGGGGAAAGACAGTTTTTTTTACTTACTTTTGTCCTTAAACTGTTTCA